CTCTGCTACCGTAGCTCTATCCCCTGCCCCTCCCCATACTGTAGTTCAATCACGAATCCATTCTTTTTTCCCTCAGATGTCGCGTGCTCAAGCTGAGGCTACACGCCTCGCAACAAAGCCTGAGCGTCTTGCTGATGCTGAGGAACGTGCACGCTTTTTCGAGGAGGATGACATGTTACGAAAGCTCAAAAATGAGGATACCAAGCGAACCAATGCCAGGAACCGAAAACGTAAGCAACGCTCAAGGGAGCGCAACACTCATGGGGTAAGCTTATTGTCTTCTGAGGTCTGGATTTTTCTCACACATCAATAGGCAACGGATGCGAGCGTGTCTATGAATGATGTTAACAACGAGGGCACTTCCACATCATTCCCACCCCTTGGCAACCTGTCTCTCGCCATGCTCACACGTCCCCATCGGTTAACCAAGGATGACTTGCGTCTAAACTCACAGTCCGATAACCCTGCGCTTGGACGCCCACGCACTCGTGAAGTTAAAGACCCTGTACTGGTAGACTGGACGAATCCCCTCTTATTCGAGCATATGCGGGTTGCGGGGATCTTAGCTGGCGCGCAAATGAGTCCGACCGAGATTGTGAAGATCCTACAAGGCCGCCATTCCACTCTTTTTCCCACCATCACATCGCAACAAGTTGGCCGCATGATAGAGACTGTGGATGGCGTGAGACGATGGAAGCCAAGCGTTCTCGAGAGTGTAAGGCGTGCATTGCTACCTAAAGGACGCACAACAAGAACAGGGATCCTGGTACGTTGTTCACTTGTTTGCATGGTACAATACAGCTGCTGACTTTCGCCGACAGGCACCGTATCCCGAACTTGAAGCAAACATCATTAAACAGCTGCAGACCTACCGCAAGGCTGGCATTCCCGTCTCTGTCGACATTGCACGCGCGATCATGCTTGGCCACATTCAACGTGGTGCCCCTAAACTCCTTGAGCCATCGTCAGGGACAGCTGCGTTCAAATGCTCTGATTCCTTTGTCCGCAAGTTTCTACATACCCGGCTTAACTGGGTTACCCGCGCCGGTACTAAAGCTGCGCAGAAAACCCCTGAAGATGCTTCTCGGCAACTTCTGCAACTTTTCTTCCGGCTCGCACTCACCATCCGTGACTATGACATTCCCGATGCCTCCCTTGTTGTCAATTTCGATCAAACTCAAGTCATCGTAGCTCATAACGACAATCGTACATATGACCAACGCGGCGCCAAGCAAGTCGCAATCACAAATAAGGAGGAAAAGCGAGCCTGGACTGCTGTTGTCGGTGTCTCGGCAAGTGGTGAAGTTCTTCCTCTTCAGGTCATTATGAAGGGATCTACTAGCCGGTCCCTTCCTTCAGCGAATGCGCCACGGATGGCAGAAGCCCGTTCCCGCGGCTTCATCTTCAGCCTGAACCGGGACTCATACTGGTCATCTGTCGAGCTCTCGGAGGAGTATTTTGAGCTAATCCTTCATCACTAAATGGGCGGACCGAATATAAGTACATGAGCAGTCGTAGAATCCGTTATAACTGACACCGTACCTTAATGATATTTCGAATCTCCAGCACGAGTGGAGCGTAAAGTCCGTTTTTAACATGTGGGAAATTAGACCAAAATCAGACGGTGAAATGGTCAGATCAGGGATGATATTATAATATTGATGGCTATCTTACCGCTGACGGTGCCTGCATGATAATTACATGATAAGATCGGCTGGTGTTTTATGCCGTATGATAACAACTCACACCATATGATGAGGACTTGCAATCTCGCCCATGATTCCAATGACAATACATTCATTGTGAACATTATATAGTACAGCATGTAGCATTAATCGAGGTTAAAACGATGAACGAGGTAAATACACGAGAGCAGCAGCGATTCACGAGAGCAGGGACACAAGAGCAGCAGCATGAGAGCAGCAGCAGCAGACGAGAGCAGGAAGTCTGGGCAGAGACGCAGAACTTATAGACCGTGAAGCCGACAGTCGGAAGGGAGCAAGAAATAAAAACATACGTTTGGGGGAACACAGGCCCAGGACAAACAATCTCGGGGAAGGGAGGAGACGTGAGCGAAATGACGCAGTGATACACTGATATAACACACCCAGTTGCCAGTCCTCTCCGCCGGTGGTTTTCCCCCTGTACTGATCCTGATACTCTTTGCCCTGGTTCGAGTGGCAGGCTTTGGCACCGGCGCCGGATCTTCTTCAATTGAGGAGAGTTCGGACTTGACAGCGCTCGCTGGTGCTTTGCTACCGGAGGACGTGAGCACGTTCTTGGTGCGCTGAGTCGGCTAGGGCTTGTTGGCGACGTTGACCGCACTGTGCAGGTTGGATGACAAGGGTGTTTGAGCCAGAGGTGGATGGTGGTTTTGGAGGAGAGTGAGTGGAGGGGCAAGAGGACGAGAAAACGAATGAATTGAGGCGTCGAGACGACGACTAGTAGGTATATCGTACGGGAATAAACTACGTGTATCGAATACGAACAGAGGCTGATGTACTGTATAGTTAGACAGAATCTTGCGACATAATCACGTGATGGCGCCTCGCGCGCGTCACTTACAATACACCCACTCGGTGCAAAGATGACAGAGAAAGAAATAGAGAATAAAAACAGACAACGTAAAAATAAACTCGCCCACTGAAACGGCGAACAGAGAGAAAATAACACGAGATAAGAAACGCATCAAAAATACGATAACGCAGATCCACTACAATCCAGCGAACCAACCCAGGCTTCAAGCATGCACAGGTACCCGGTCCCTCTATTCCGCGACACATAGGTCGCATTCACTTTGGGCCCAAAAACTCTGACAGCGTCAATGAGTGGACGTTTTATTATGTGAACATGTATGTCTTCGAAGTCTCTTCTATTCTAGAAACTAACCTAACATTACTTTAGTTTCGTCGATAGAGACATGTTCATGCGTTTCCGAGGCGGTGCAATCGGTCACGATTTGCCCCCATACTGGAACCGGAAACTTCTAGATGCCGCCTCCACGATTCCCGAGGCCGAGGAATTCGAGCTACCAATCGATTCGGATCAAGACAGCGACAATGAGGAGGGAGACAGTGATGAGGAAACGGACGGGCACGAGAGCGGTGATACCAGCGATGAAGAAGGAGACGCAGCAGAGACTGCAGCACGTACGGATGAAGGGCTTTTTTTGGGTGAAGACGAGGCTCTCACTAACGCGACCGGCTTCGCATCATTGTAAAGGTCAGCTGGTATTCGAATCTCTACCGTTTTTATTGTTCGTTAGTGTTCGTGTCTACCTAAAGCGGTGGCTGCCATATGCAGTTGAAGTTATCGCTCAATGATAATTTTGTTTCTGAAATGGTCTCCGTATTTTATATTCGACTAACAAATGCACGAGCAAGATCATCAATTTTGATCAATGGTAAAGTGTCCGCGACAT